GTGTTCTAGGATATGATAGCGTCAGACTAATTCTCTGTGATGCAGAACATCCTGCCAGCTTCTACTACAGGTAGTCCAAACCCTCCTCTCCTGTCAAGTGATAAAGTATGAGTTATATTGACGCTCTTAGGCAGAGACTATCTCCCTCAACAGCATAGAAGAAATTATAGAAGACTGATTCTCATCATTCCAAAAGACTCCTGGGATTATAGCTATAGTAATATAGAATTTTGGCTTCTTTAAAAGGCATAGAAATATTATAAGAATGTTTTTGTTTTAATCAAAGGTGTGGGATATGGGGCTGCTTTGCATCAGCTGACTATGATTTGCCTTGTGCTCTGGTAGGAATGTGGTTTTTCCAGTGGCAAATAGTTTCTGTGAATGTGTAATGTTTGGAATTTTGGGAACTTTTCAGGGGATATATGAATGCTAGGGCCCCAAGAGGTGGGGTTGCTGTGGTTAGATGTTCTTGGTTGCTGTTTGTCAAGTAGTCATGCATAGCAAAGAAAGGAGAAGAAGATAGTGGTCTTCACTATCTTGATAGTGAAGATCAAACTTGCCCCAAGGAACTATTATGCCGCCTAACCAGCAGGAAGTAGTCTGACTTCGTCCCCTTTCCCTTCTATCCGTTTTTGTCTCCTATTTAGTATTAGAGGGTTAATAATGGAGGAGAAGGGTGGAAGAGAGAAAAAGGAACCCACAAAGCAGCAAACTTTGGCTTCATACAGCTTTCATCAGTGGAGTTGGGTCAGGAGAGCAGGCTATGGAGAGACATCAAGATAATGTGTCAAAGAAGCCAGTTGGCAGCAGAAGCCTGGGAGTCTCTCCTAAACGGACCATATGGAACAAAACTGAGCATGTTGAAAATTTCCTTTCAGTTCTGAGTGTGGAAAACTGGTTACTATTAAATGACACATAAGGATTAGAGTGCTGTGGCCAGGTACTTCTGAGTCTTGGTCCTGTTCCAGGTCTCTAGCCCACTTCCATTCTCAGGAGTGTGTTTCCTTAATAAACTACTTCTTTTTCTATTACTATCTGTGTGTCCCTAGTCCAACTCTTCATTACACGTTATAAAAGCTTAGAATCTTAGCAGGTATCCTCTGGACTGAGATACATACCTGTAACAACATTTTGTTGTTGTTGTTGTGGAACAGTGAGACAGCCCCTGTTGTTGAAACAGGGTGGAACAGAAAAGAGCATACAACAAAAATCATAGATCACCATCTCCCTCCATGAGCCTTCAGTGGAAGATTCTCTAATACCATTTTGGAAAATATATAACAGGAGACACTTGAGTCTTCTAATGTGGGCAGTACTATGAAAAATGTCTGTCTACATGTTCCAAAGTAGAAGAAACTCTGCTGGAAAGCAAGGTTCCAAGCCTTCTTTTTCACCCCCATTCTATGATCAAAGCCTAAGCAAGAGTGTTTCAAGAGAGTTGGAAGGGATGAGTGTGTGGAAGAATGATTCATTATAGCATGTACCTCACCAGGGAACACAGCATACATGTTGTACAAGGACATCTGTGATAAAAAAATATACTAAGAGTGAATGTGTGTATTTTAATCTCTGTGTCTGTCTGTCTCCTTTTCTCTCTAGCCTTCTAGAGAATGGTGAAATTTCTTAATGGCAGAGTCAGGAAGAGCCCCTTCAGCGATGCAGAGCTATGCTTCCTGTTTGAAAGCAAGGCAGAGATGGGGCACAGAAGCTGGCAGACAGGTGGTATGAAGCAGTTAGAAATTGCTCAGGACTCACTGCCTCAAAAGGCAAAGCTGAACTCTGTCGCCACCTTCCATCCAAATGGTACATTGCATGTTCCCCATCTTAGAAAATGACCGCAGGGATACATACCACTGGGGGCTTGGAGTCTGCACCTTGGTAGGTAGAGATGCAACTGGAACTTCTCTAGGAGGCATGACTCTTTGTTAAGACAGAGTCACCGTAAACTGTTTAGTTACGCAAATGTGAAATCCAGTCTCAAAAGTGGTCAAATAATCTTAATGCCCATGCATCAGTTTTTTGATTTTTTGCTGATACCCAGGAAAACATGATGTCAATTAAAGTTTTATCCGTTCTTTACTTATTTTTTTTCTTTTATAGACCTGGATTGTCTTCACTTGAACTAACATGTGCTATGTATTTGGGAGATTGGGTTGTGTGGGATGCTTCGTGCGGCTGTTCTTTGGGTCTGCTGTGATGCTCAAGTTGGTATCTTAAGATAAAAATATGGTCCAAAGAGAAATGGCAGTCAATGTAAAAGTTTAATTTTATTTTGAATGATTTGGGACATGCAGGTACTAGGAGACTTTGAACATACGGCCCTCTAGGGTAAGGTTGTTCCAGATCCTCTTGAAACAAAGCCCACTAAATGAACTGCTCCACACATTAAATCCTAGGGCAGACATAAACAGCATGTACACGCACATGCACACCCACAGACTCTGCACACCATACACACATGGCCACATGCATTTCCTTACCCACCCACCACATTCCTGAGAACTAGCAAGAGGTCTTCACACTGAGTACCAGTTGCTCATCCTGTCCCACACCCACCATTCTGATAGGTAGAATAGTGATGAGATCTAAAGTGTGTCTCTTTCACACATTTACATGAGTATAGCATCTGTGGCCTGATTGAGAAGATAGCGTACTCTTCTAGGGAGGGAAACAAATTTAAGTATGAGTCTTGGGCTATGACAGAAAAGCATTCTGGCAGTTCCTGAACTGTATCTGTCAAAAGTAGCTTTGATTTTCAAACCCCAAATGCTATAACAAGCCTGCCGCTAATTCTACCAGAGCTCTGCAGAATGAGTTTTTCTTAATTTTTCTAATTTATGTACTTATTTATTTTGGTGTGATGGGGTGGGGGTAGGAAATGTGCCTTGGCCCTCATGTGGAGGTCAGAAGACAACTTCTGGGAGTTGGTTCTCTCTTTTTACCATGTGGGTTTCAGAAAATGAAACTCAGATCATTAGTCTCATTAGCAAATGAATGCCTTTTCCATCTAAGCCATCTCACCAGCCTCAGAATTCTTTTTTTTTTTTTTTCCTAGCACAGGCAAGCGACATACCACCAATCTAAGCCCTCAACCCCCGATCCTGCCCAATTTGAAACAAGGTGATCTGCTTTAAATGTCAGGTCTCCTTTGTCTACATTGTGCGTCCTTGAAGGGCAGGAGCTGTGCCTTCATCCTCTTTGTATCCTATCCCCAGAAGCAATGGAGACTTAGCAAATACCAGATACTGAAAAAATATTTTGTCAATGCTGGGAATGTGATTCTTCTGGTGGGAGGAAGCCTGATGTGTCTTGGTGCCCCACGGGAGCAGATTGCAAGAAGAGGCCAACAAAAATGAGTGATCACTGTTAAAATAATTAACTGGAAGACTATGATGAGTTTTGAGCTCCTACTACATCAAACTAACGTGTAGCTCAGAGAATGGTCATAGACTAAGAAAATGAAACGTAGATTAAATAACCAGAAACTGACAACTAACCTCTACTTAGAGATTTAAACAACTAGAAACTACTGACTAACATTTAAATTGGGAATTTCCATGTTAAGCAATCAAATTCTTCTTCCCCTTGTTTCCTGAACACCTTCTAAAACTCTTCCCTCCCATTCTTCAATAATCCCCTTCCCCTTGTAGTTTGGTGCTGTCTGATTGATGAATCACTCTAACATGCCTAAGCTTATGTGCCTAAGTTTATCTTCTAGCTGATAAACGAAGGAGATATGCCACCATGAGAAGGTGGAGCAGGGTCAGGCTACCCATGGAACCAGAGCACAGAAGTTGACCTCTGAAGCTACCCAACTGTGGGTGAGGATGTGGGGTTGAATGTAAGTTCTGGTAGCATGTAGGTCAGTCTAGCAATGGTCACAGAGGCCCTGTTTGGGATACACAGATAACTCCTCTGGGCCTCCCAGGTATGGCTTAAACTTCTTTGCAAGTCATTCACAATGGGACCCCACCCATTTTAATTTTCAGTAACTCCTTAACCACAAACCTTGGGTTGCAGCCAAATGGATGACACACTATACCCCAAACAAGCCTGGAGCTCTCCTCCGTCATACTTTTCGGAGTTGTTAATTCTACCTAGAATGCTTTGACCCCATGCTTTCTGTTAGGGAAACTCTTTTTCCATTGAGTCCAGGCTCAGTTGTCGTTTTGTGTAATCCTGCTTAGCCTTCCTGGACAGCTCTTCTCTTCAGACTACCTTGTACTGTGGCTCTGCTTATATCATGTCCTGAGTGTCTGAGAAGTCAATCATCTCATGAACCTTTTGTGCTCCAGCATTGCTCTAAACACAGGTGAACAAAAAAGTGCCAGCAGTTCCCCTCACTGAACCAGGATGGCACAGACTCCCTGCTCTACCATGAGCAGAGACAGATTTTCTATGAAATGAAAAATAGCTGGGGCTTCCAGACAAGGGTTGCAACCATAAAGAAGAGTTGAACCTGATATTCTGGGTTGTGAAATACCCTCAAATCAGGGACTCCACTGGAGAACATGTGGGTAGCTTTCCAAGGAATCACCAGGGTACCCACACCCCTTGAGTTGCATGTGAAGTGCAGGTTTTATTATGGTGGCTTCAATGAATGATTACAAACTCAGTGGCTTAAAACAATGGAAGTATATTATTTTACAATTCTGCAGGCCAGAAAATTCCAAAGTCAGTGTCAGGAGAGCTCTTACCTTTTCTAGTTTCTAGGAACCATGCTCTGTCATCAGCTCACAGTACCTAACTCCATCCTCAAATTTAGTAGCAAAGTTTACCCCAGTCTCTCTCTGACTCTTTCCTTCCTTCTCATGAGGCATCATATGATTTCACTGGGCTCAGTGAAGGAAAAGTCCATTTGCCATTTAATGTAACATAATCATAGGAGTGGGGATTAAGACCTAGACATCTTTGGTGTGCCATTATTCTGTCTTCCACAGACTGTGAGCAAGATGGGCTCAGTTTGGGAGCACTAGGCTGGATTTCAGCCTCATGCCTCCTTACCGGCTCTGCTCAAAGTAGAACTCGGTATGGGTAGAGGGTTCACTCTCTTTGGTGAGCTTCACTGGCTGCTGGGGCTCAGGTGGGCCACAGAGGAACCAGCCAGGGCAAGCAGCAGACTCGAGCCTGAAGGCAGAACCCAAGCTTCTCTGGAAAAAGGTGAAACGGGTGGTTTGTTCACCTCCCTTGTACAGGTCCTCGATGTTCACATCCTGTGGGGAAAGGGAGCCAGCTATGTGACCTGTCAGCCCTTAGTGCCTCAGGGCTTAGCCAAAAAAGGACTCAACAGGGTATAGTTTTACTGAGGGATGTTCCTTCTGTAGATTCCAAAAGGCAAGAGTCTCCTTACTGGAGGTAAAGAGAGATACAGGACAAGAGAGGGGACATGTGGGTGTGAAGATGCCAGGGCATCCTGGGGCCAAGGCTGACTCTGCAGTGTCTCCAGAATGAGGAGGGGCTTCTCACCTCCACCTGCAGGGAAGGCCCCTCTCTTGTCTTCACAGATGCCAGACAGCAACTTCCTCCCTGGAGGCCCAGGAAGATGGGGACCTTGGAGCGGTCCAAGCCTCGGTTAGGAAGGATACAGATCTTCTCTGGGAGGTAAGACAAAATGTAATTCAGGCAGTGAGGAGACCCCAGATGACAGGCTTTTAGCAAGATAAGGCTCAACAAGAAGCAGCTGGGCCTGGGCACACCTGGCCTGTTTTTGCATGGGAGACTCCACAATAAGTGGAATTCGCCAGGACAGGCTGAAACAGCCTTCTACCTCTTCCCATTATCACAGGGACACTGTTATCACATCTCCAGAGACAAGAGAGAAGAAAAGAATCAAGGGCCTGTGACAGATGGAGGTCTAGCAAGCCCTGGAAGAGAGCCCCCACGAAGTTCACCTGCATTACAGTTGTCTGAATCAGGGTCTCCCACCAGGAGCTGGCCATTCCGTGTGTACAAAGCCTTTTGATGTGCATCTTTGATTCTAAAATAGGATGGCAAGGTTAATGTCCTGATACCTCCCGGGATCACTGTACCCTTCCGACCCCGTACCGCCTCACTGGACCACCAGAGGTTCCAGAGGAGAGGGGCACTGCTCCAATAAGGGGAGAAACAGTTCCATCCCAAAGCAAGAGCAGGCCTCTGAGGCTCCAGAAGTAACAGTAGGCAGTGCCTTCTCATGAGGGGATAGAGAGTGTTTTCATAGATGTCTGAGTAGTTGCTTTGAGAGTCAGGTTTCCCAAGGACACTGTGAGTCCTATCCCAGGTTTTCTGGGCCTGCTTTAATTTTTAAAAAATAAATGATAACACTCATTAATGAAGGCATCGAGAATGTAATAAGTATGATTTGCTTTGTAAACTTAAAAAATACTTTCTGTAGAAGAAATATACATATTAGAAATTTGAAAATAAAAAGTCAATATCACTAGACTCTGGCCCCACTCTGGTCATGGTGAGCTATTCTCCGTATGTTTCAAATATCGGAGGTGAACCCAGAACTAGATGAGGACCTGGTTACTCACTGGGGATGCCTGTGGAGCTAGTGACCTGCCTGCAAGGGGAAGAATGCACCAGGAAAGCTGTGGAGAAACTGTCATGCATGCAGAACATCAGAATCATTCCTATTATTAGCCTAGTTGCCTATCTGCTTTCAGAGATGCTCTCAGCCCAGGGAACTCCCAATACTTTTAAGAGCAGAATGTCTGGACCAAAGCCACCAGCTCCAAGAGCCTTTTCTGTTCCCGCAACAGCTAGTAATGGCTATTTAAAAACAGCTCATCTGTTGTTTTTAAAGCAGGCTCACGAGTACATTAAGAACAAAGGTCTGCAAAGATCTTGCTGCCTGTGTTCTCAGACTGTGGGAACTGGGACTTGACGTGTTCCCTGCTGGAAGCATTCTAATTTAGACCCTGCTAGTTATTCTCAAGGTGCACATGTGGCGGCACATACTTTAATCCCAGCACTTGGGAGGCAAAGGTAGGCAGGTCTCTGTGAGCTCAAGGTCATTCAAATGTACAAAGTGAACTTCAGGTTAGCCAGGTTAGACTTTCAGGTTAGTTTTTTGTTGTTGTTGTTGTTTGTTTTGTTTTTTGTTTTTTGTGTGATACATTGGGACTCAAGATTGTTTGAGCTTTCTAAGAACAAGATATGTTGGTTCAGGGAACATGGAGTCTGAGTCCACTCTCTGCTTTTGAGTAGTTGTATGGCATGAGGAAAATCATGCAACTTTTTGAGCTTCAGTTTTCAGATCTGTAAACTGGACTAAGCAATAACATCCTTGCAAATTTTTCATTCTGCCAACGGAAAAGAGGGCTATTGTTACTGACAAGGATGAAGAGTAATAATTTAATGCTTGAGATTTTTGTAGTCAGAGGGAGCTTCATTTCTTTGACTTGGCTTTTTCTCTTCCCACGTGATCCCCAGGCCCCTTGATTGAGAAATCACCAAGATTACTTACATGTAGTATCTTGCCATGGGAAGAGAGCACATTCCTGCAGTTGGGAGTGTCTGGTCTTTACTGGGGAAAAGAAGAAAAAGGCTTTCAGAAAAGCAGAGGAGTATATTTAGGGTCAGACAAGCTGGGGCTCAGAATTATCCAGCCATATGCTATTTCGCACCCCTAGGCATTACAGAATCCACTAAGGTCTCCCCAGTCCTCCCAGCTCTAGGCAGCTCTGCCTTTTTTTTTATTCCTGGCCCTTAGAGCAGGTTTAGCTAGCAGAGGTGTGAGCCTTGTGTGTTGAAGCTGGTTCTTATAATCTAGAGAACAAATTCACCCAAATAGCTCGCCAGCTCACATCCCAGGCTGAGGAATGGGTGCTCCATAGACTAGGGATAACCTCAGGGCAGATCCAGTTTCATTTTTCAACCTGGCCTGAAGGTCACCCCTGCTCTGCCCTCTTTACCTTGTAGGGAGTAAGTAACTTAGCTGAAGGATGGGAGGACCAGCAGGGTTTGAAGGTTAGGCAGCATCATTCCTGGGAACCAGAATTGCTGACACCTGTGAAGAGTCTGTCCACCCCCTCCTCGCAAAAATCAGCAGGATTGAGATACAGACACTTGTGCATTTGAAAGTGAGCACTCTGAAGCAAAAAGAGTGACCTATAAACCTAAAGCCACAAAGCTTCCCAGGACACAGAGTTCCTTCCTGGAGGAGTGTCCTATCTCAGAGCTCCTCCCTGAAATGATCACCCAGAAAATCCAATCCAGAACAGCACACAAGAAACAGAAGAGATAGATCAAAGCAGGAGGACAGCTCATAAAAGCAAATGCAGAAATGCCTGGGGCTGAAGCTTCCTGAGTGGATCTGATTCTTGCCAAGCAAGAAAGGGAAAATAATTAAGTAAGAAAGCAGAAAATGAGATAGAAAAGAATGTGGAAAAAAAGAAATGGGACTTGGCGCTGGATGAAGTGATACTGAGGTAAGGAAGACTAGGTGGATGCTGATGGCCAGAATTCAGACCACCTCATTGTCATTGAGATCCATGGTCTGGTATTATAAGAAATGGGACTGTATTCCAAGTGGCTTTTATTACTGGTTATCTGTTTCAGTCAGCTTGGAAAGTCATCAGGCAAAAGGTGAAGACCTGTTGGGAGTGCAGGATAACAGGGCACTGATGAGAATAAAGATTGTGCATGAACACCAGTGTTAGGAATCAGACTCCAGCACCCTGTCAGCCTGTGCTCACATGTGTTGTTGCCCCTGATCCAGGGAGAGTAACTATTTTCCCACATGTTTATCTATAAAACAGTTCAATCAGTTATTTTTAAAAGGTTGAAAAGTTGGAAATGCTCTCAATGTCCAATACTAGGCAATTGGCTGAAAGGGAATGACAAATCCAGAAAATAAGAAGTATATGCTCGTTAAAGATGATGTTTTCAGCATAAAATTTCAAATATAAGAAGTGAAAACTGTAGGTTTTGAATAATGTGCACATTATAATCCCAGTTGAATTTGTAACTGTTCAGAGACACATACGGGAACAAAGACCGCCGGTGCTGTTTCAGCATTCGTTTGTGCTGATAGGATCCCTGCCTTTTACCTTGTTTAAGACAGGGTCTCTTATTTACTGGGTGCCTGCCAAGCTAGCTAGCCCATAGTGCTAGAGATTCTCCTGAGTCACCTCTCATTTTGCCATAGGTCCACTGTGATTCTATAATGTGTCTGTCTTTGTGTGGGTTCTGGGGATTCAAACTCAGATCCTCATGCTTGCATGCCCATTTCCCCACTCCTCACTCTCTAATGCATATTTCTAGATCCTGCATTTTTGTTAAGTTAATGAGTCTTGTTCTCTATGTCTGGGGTGAAGCCCAAGACTGCATTTCAAACATGCAACCAAGTCTTGATAATGCTGCTGGTTCCCAGACCACATTTGGAGTATAAAAGAATAGTGAATTCTTCTAGCCCAGGTAGACTGATAACAGCATAGGCTCAAGGCAAGCCAGTTTGATGGTGTTCCTTCTGATCCAGACCACCGAGGCACCTTTAGTTGTGGCAGAAGTCGGAGCAGCCGGTAAGCTGGACTAAGGCCCAAGAGGGGCCAGTGAAGTGGATAAATGTGTGAGGCTGCACATCCTGGCTGGCGACTTTAACTCTGGTCAGTGTCAGCTCAAACAGGCAACAGAAATTCAGTGTTGGTCTAGTCAAGTTGGATCTTTGGAGATCTAGAATTCTCCCATCTCAGCACTTCAGTTTTCTCTAAATTCACATATAAGGTCTCTCTGCCTAGGTTCTAGCTAGAACCTAGGGATAGAAGAAGAAGTTTCCTGCTCATGTTAGTTTGTGGTTACACAGAAGGCCTGGGATGCTTATGCTCTTCCCAATGTTCCACACACTTGATTCTGAAAGTTTTCCCTTCCTTGTTAACCCCAAATTAACCGTTCACTCAATTTGGCTCTACGTCCCTCTTTTCTTTCTCTAATTCCTGGCCATGAATCCTGACTGACTCAGACTACTCTCGGTCAAGTGCCACCAACAGATAATGCTGGGATTCTTCAACACTCTCCTCATTTTCTTGCACATCTTCTATAAGAAGCCTGTTATCCCCAAGATCAATAACAACTTTCATGGAGCCAAAAACAAAGGCATTTAAAAATTTATTTTTCTATTTCTCACTACCTCCTTGGAATCTTTGACATTGGTTGATTTCTTCACATTTCCCCATCTATCTATTGCAGGTACATTGTAGAGTTCTTTTCGTAGGGTCATCTCTAAATCTGAGAGTCACAAGAAAACATACTAAAGCACTTGTATTTTCATATGCTATGGAATTGCAATCCATCTCTTCCTATAGCTGCAATGACCACTTTGGCTAATGTCTCCCAGACCCAGGCTGGATTTTAGTACACCCTCCTCTTTGGGTGTCCTGTCATCATGCATATCAAATATATATAAGGTCAAGTTAATTAACTTCTCCCAATCTACTTATCTTTCTCAGTTTTACTTATCTCACTTTCATAATATTCCTCCCATCAGAGAACTTCAAACCCCAAGAAGCACTGAAAATATACCACACTGTTACCATTGTAAACATGATAACACTCCTGATTGTACATTCAATCCAACCTGACCTATGTAAAGCCCTTGAATTTAATTTTTAAGTACATCTTTGACCACATTCCTGCTCAAGTCCAAGGACATACTCAGCATTGCTTTTGGTTTCCCTGCCCAATACCACTCCTCTTCATCACTGACCATTCATAGCACTGTTATTAAGGTCACTGGGTATGGCTTCATTACACATGGGCTCTTGTCTGTCAATAACTCACAGCTGAGAATGGGAGTGCAAAAATACAGGGTCATATCTTCTCATGATCAATCCTCAGGTTCATGGTATTAGATTATGTGGTTGTCAAGGTTCTTTCTAGGTCAAACTATGTATGTTCCATGACTCGCAGTTTGATGCTACCCTTTAGTAACAAATTTCTCCCCTTTACTGTTGTAACACTCCTTTGAGCTCCTATTAAGCTTTGCTATATTGCTTATGTGTGTGCATTAAAACAATTGTTTGCCTTAGAAAAGTTGATAAGATCCAGAAATCATGAAGCATGGTGCATATAGACTATCTGAAACTATCCAACCACACAACTGACAGACACAGAATCTACCAGAGCACAGAAACACGTGGATCGGGTTTTGACTGAAAGGCTGGATTCTAGAAGTAATATGGCTACCAATTGATTTTCTCTTTCTTTCTTTCTTTCTTTCTTTCTTTCTTTCTTTCTTTCTTTCTTTCTTTCTTCTCTCTTTCATCCCTGGGCTACCAATTTAGTCCCATTGGAATTAGAGGTTGGACAAGATTATTTTTTTTCTAAAACTTTTTTAAGTTTCACAATCAGTTTTTTTTCAACAAATAGGTTGCATTTGGATAGAAAAGGGGTGATGGAGACACCACCACCTTGGTGGCATTCCTATTATCTACTGAAGTCTGAAGTGAGTTGCAGAGAACTTCCATGTGTCATGGACAAAACACTTTGAATACTACTGGCCTAGCTTATTTCGTTCAAAACTCTGTGGTTCCAAATATGTAATAACCTTGTTTTGACCTAATCTATACTTTTCCTTAAATTCTACCAAGGGTTCCTAGATTTATAGAACATCACACTAAATTCTATAAAAGGCATTCCTTGCTCCCTAGAGAGCCTGGGCATTTTGGAGACATTAACACAAAAGTGTGTATGTGTGTGTGTGTGTGTGTGTGTGTGTGTGTGTGTGTGTGTGTGTGTAAGAGACACAAAAAGACTGTTACCACTGACCTGTCGATCCTAGGGCCTGGAACTCTGATGACCGGAGTCTCCAACTGATTTCTTCAGGACATCAGCACTGTGTTTATAATGTCTGGTCAGGGTGGGTCAGGCCTGTAATTGGCTCTAGATCAGGGAAGAAGAGCCCAGAGATTTCATAATATCTTCAGAACAGTACGAATAATAAGGAGGTGGGGAGATTAATGAGTGTTTGTAGGAAGGGGAGAGAGTCACCCATAAAGCCTTGACAGAGGCCAGACACTGACCTGCTGTCTCTGTAGCTACTGTCATTGACTGTGTTATTAGTGGTTTTGCAGCTAGATAAACAATGCTGGGGTCAAACATCTTTAATGCTCTCTGAGGTTCTGTCTGAGACTTGGAGAGGTCTGAAGGACTAAGAATAGAAAAACTAGTGGTGATAGAATCCAGATGCATCCAGAGCCATAATAAAGCAGGGCTTCATTATGAGGAGTGTGGCTCTGTTTGGGAAAATGAGAAGAAACCCTTTGCTTTTTAGATTTAATTAGTTGATACAAACTTAGAGATGAGTATCTAAGGAAATGCAGCTGTAGAAGATATTGGCCTTAGATTCTATAGGGACTTTACAGGAGCCATGTACCCTGAACTACTAGGGTGTATGAGAATGTGAACAGTGCAGGGTCAGACTCAGTTCTCTAGTCTGTTCATTTATAACTCTGTCCATCCATTTCTCACCTAGTTATCTCTCCACCTAACAATTTACATAT